GAAAATATCTGCCCAATTCCCAAATTAATGCCTCTTTCACCAAGACTTAAATAGGTGAAAGTGCCCAAAAGGAAGGACTTGAAAACCCACAGGATTTCAGGAATATCCCTAAAGCCATGAGATGATCAGAGTGGATGATTTGTACAAGTAGTCAAACACTTTTTCCCATGACAATTGTTTAACCAAGTGCCCTTGTTACTTACCTGAAGAGTATTTTTTTTCTTTGCTGGTTCATCTTCCTCTGAATCTGACTGAGAGAGAAAAACCAGAGCTCAGCACAACTTGAGACAGCAAACTGAAAAAGTCATGCTAATAAATCCCAGCAAAATAAACCCAAAGGGAGGGAAGAACTGCAGGTGCACAGCTACAGGTCAGGGACAAACAACAACAGAGTTACTGGAAGGGAAGCACAAACCACACAAAGGATGCAAAGTTCCCTGCAGGGATACAAAGAATTGTTCCCAAAAATGCTGAAATTGCTAAATATCTGGTTAAAACTTGTGTGGAAAGCCTGGCTGGCAGCAGAAAAGGTATCTTTATCATTTCATGGCTCCTCAGAGAAGTTGGAAGAGGCAGCAGGGATTGAGGGCCTGGGCCAGTTTGCCTCCAAATCATAAACCATAAATCATAAACAGGGAAAGACAAGGAATTTGCATAAATCCAGAGAGTTGGGAGACACTGCAGGTGCCCTGGAGCATCTCCAGGGGGTGAACCACAGCCATGGGAGGGGTTTTAAGGAGAAACAGGGAACTGAGGATGTCAGCCACAGGCCAAGGAACCCCCAGGAACCCCAAGTGGGAACTGCTCACACCAGCTCCAGTTTAAGGGACATTTTGTCCCTTCCAAATTCATCTGCTCAACACTGAGAAGCTGCAGATTGTGTGGTCACAGCAGAGCACAGAGAGGGGTGAGGCAGGAACAGATCCCTGCTCATTCCAGCTGTCTGGAATCCCACCACACTGCTGCAAGGAGGGACTGGGATATCCCTCAACCCTCTGTCCCAAAGCTGAACCTCCAGAGCTCTGAGATTTGCCACCCTGGGATGGTTATTGGAAGCAGGAAGGGATGGAGAATCTGAGTCCTCTCCTCCTTTTTCTGTGACCCCCCCAAACACAGCACTGCCTTCATCTGGGCTCCCCCAAATGCCGCCAGGCCACTTTTCATGGACAATGTTTATAATTCCACCTGTCCCCATGGAAATGACCCCAGTTCAGCTCTTCCCACTGCCACAGGCATTCCTGTCACACCAAAACCAGTGACACAACCATCACCTCCACATGGCAACAGGCTGGGCTTTGAAAGCTGTCCCTGCCTGTGGGCACTGCGAACAGGATGAGTTTTAAGGGTCTCTTCCAACCCAAACCACTCCAGGACTCCAGATGCTGGTTTAGATAAAATATTAGGGGAAAATTTATTCTGTGAGGGTGGTGAGGGCCTGGCACAGAGTGCACAGAGAAGCTGTGGATGCCTCTGGATCCCTGGAAGTGTCCAAGGCCAGGTTGGACAGGGCTTGGAGCAACCTGGGATAGTGGAAGGTGCTCTGACCATGGCAAGGGAGTGGAACAAGATGGGCATCAAGGTCCCTTCCAAGCCAAACCATTCCATGATTCTGTGACAGAGCTGTCCCAGAGGAAATTCATCCTCTGTCCTCAGCAGTGGGGAGAGGATGAAACCTCATCAGCAGGGATCCCGACTTAAAAACCAGATGGAAATAGACCTGCCTTCCCCCGCTCTCACTGTCTGGGTTCACAAGCCTGCAAGGCACAGTAATTACAAAAAAAAACACAAAAAATGAGAGCGAAATGGTCACCAAAAAGTTTAGAAGACGCCTGAAGCCTTTAGACAAATATGCAATAAACTGGCTGAAAAATCCATCACCTGCACAGGAAACAAAAGATGGTTTTGGGCTACAACGCCCTTGCAGCTCCACATCATCAAGTCGTTAACTCCAGGAATAAGAAGGGTGCAGATAATCTGGGTTTGGCTGCATTCTGATTATAAATAAGGTTTCTATATCAGTTTAATTCTGCAAAGCGCTTTAGCATTAGGGCAGGCAGCCAGGACAAATCTCCCCGAGGATGACACAACAATAGATCCCGGTACATCTCGGTGTGACAGAGAGATGGAAAAGCCCCGCTGAGGGGGAAGTTTCACCCCCGAAAGGAAGGGCTCGGGTTTGATCCATACTCACATCCCCCTTGTGCAGCTCGGGCGCCGCGATCCGCACCGGCTCCGTCCTCTTCTTTGGCTTGGGGAGGCCCAAACCCGCCCCGNTGTCCCCTGCCCATCCTGCTCATTCCCTGCCTGTTCCCTTCCTGTCCTGCCTGTCCCTCTGCCCATCCTGCCTGTTCCCTTCCCATCCCCTGCTCATCTCCTGCCTGTCCCCTGCCTGTCCTGCCCATCCCTCTGCCTGTTCCCTTCCTGTCCTGCCCATCCTGCTCGTCCTCCTGCCCATCCCCTGCCCATCCTGCTCGTCCTCTGCCTGTTCCCTGCTTGTCCCCTGCCTGTTCTGCCCGTCCCTCTGCCTGTTCCCTTCCTGTCTTGCCCATCCTGATCGTCCTCCTGCCCATCCTGCCTGTCCCCTGCTTCTCCTCCTGCTCGTCCCCTGCTCATCCCCCTGCCTGTTCCCTTCTTATCCTGCCCATCCTGCTCGTCCCCTGCCCATTCTGCTTGCCCCCTGCCTGTTCTGCCCATCCCCTGTCCATCCCCTGCCTGTCCCCTGCCCCTGCATCACCAGCCACGGACACTGAGCAGAGGTAGGAGCTTGGGCTGGGGGCTGGTGTTTTGTTTGGGGGCCTGGGGTTGGGTTTGCAGTAAAGCCAAGGAGAGAACCCTGAGCAAGAGGTGCAGGGATGCCCCCCTGCCCAAAGGCAGGACAAAAGGCACAATAATGGGGTGAAAAGAGAGGGATTGGGGTCCCCTGGCCACGTCAGCCCTTCCTGCCAGATCTTGCCCTCTCCAAAGGGGGAAGTTCAGCCCGGAACTGTCTCACAGAGCAAAACTCCCAGCCCGTTTCAGGGCTGATCTGACTCGTTCCCACCTCAGCACTGCGGGGTTTCAGAGGCACATCCTGCCCCAGGGGGATGCACAGTGAGCTAGGGACAGTGCCATTGTCCCCAACAGCCTGACCTGGGCAGGACCTGACCCCAGTTCTCCTTCCCAGCACTCCCCAAGCTGGGTTAGTGCAGTTTTGGGGTGTTTTGTTTCTCTTTGTCAACACCTTCCTCATCTTCCCCTGCTTGCAGGGGTGCAGGGCTGGGCAGAGCACTGCTGTGGGTTAAAGGTGGAGCTGGGGTGCCTTTGCTGGGTCCCCTTGAAAAAGGTGGCTGAGTCCCCTCCTTGCTCTCAGAGAAGGTGGCTGGGTCCCCCTTGCTCTCAGAAAAGCCTCGACCCACTTCTCTGACTCAGCTTTGCCTCCCAGATCCATCCAGCCCCAGCATCTTCCACCCCCTCCAACCTCTGCTGGGCCTTAACGTTGTTTTGCTGCATGTTGGCAGCTCAGGGTCAAGCTCAAGGTCCCTCAGGAGCTGCTCAGCCTCTCCCACCCCTTCCTAGGGCTGAGCTGACACACTGAGGATTCAGAGGGGCTGGAGGATTCATGTGCTCCCTCCTGAGCTCCTCCACACCTACATCAGTGTCTCCCCTTCTCCTCTGGGGTGCCAAGGTCACTGTCCCCCCCATTTTGCAGCCTGGGGAGGATCAGGGTGCTGAGCCTGAGCTTGGGGAGCACAAGGTGAAGGTGATGGTGACAGCAGGGCCTGTGGGGGTGTCTTGGAGTGCTCTCCCCAAAGGAGACCCCCCTGCCCTGAGCCTTTTCCTCTCCCCTCTCCCTGGCACAGGGCACTCCATGGATGAGGACCGGCCCCTCTTCAGCACCTTCAAGCCCCTCGGTGAGGACAGCACAGCCAGAGCCAAGGCAGGATCCAGCAGCACCCCCAGCCAGCCCCCGGGGGCTTCAGAGCAGCCCCCAGGACGGCCCAGCAGACACGGCAGGGTAGGACATGGGGACAGCAAACACGGCAGGGTAGGACATGGGGACAGCAGGGTGGACACGAACCCAGCTCACCCTCCCAGTGCTCCCTCACCCTCAGGGGGCTGCACTGGTGTCAAGGTCTCTGCTGCTCAGAGTGACCCCGAGAAAAGTTGCAAACTTTCTTTTCCCAGCCCAGCGCTTGAAGAAGGAGTCAGAGCTCTTAATTTCTCGGTCTCAAGGTTGTTTATTTTATCTTATCTATAAAAAAATTTTCTCCTGCCCTGCTGAGGTCCCTCCATCAGGACAGTTCCAGGCACTCTGCCTGCCCCTGGGTGGTGTTATGTCTTTATACAAAAAACTACCTGTACAATATTTACAATTACTTCCCAATACCTATGTTAGACACTGAGCTTCCACTCTAAACCAATCCAAAAGTGCCACCATCACAGCAGAAGATGGAGGCCAAGAAGAAGAAGGAGAAAGGCTGGACATGCCCAGATTCCTCCATCTTGCCTCCTGAACCCCCATACCAAAAACCCCAAAATCTACTTTTCCACCCCGTGATAGCTTCACTANACCCCACTGGGTCTCACCAGGGGGTTCTCAGGGCCAGCCCCTGGCACCCCAGCCTTGTGCTGCCCTGCAGTGCTGCTGGATCAGCTCACACACCACAGGGAGGGCACTCACCTGGTGGATCAGGTATGTGATCTGGTGTTTTCTCCTCTGCTGTCCTGTGGGCTGATCTCCTTTTTTCTGGAAAAGCAGGAAGAGGTGAATTGTTCAGCCTGGAGAGGTGCCTGCACAGAGCCATCCCAAGCATTTGTTCCCCATTAAACTGCAGATTCCTGGGGCTGAAACACTTCCTGGCTGGCCCTCCCCACCCACATGCTGTGTTCTGAGGAACTCCACTGCTCTCACATGTCATTATTTACCCTCCCTGGTGAGTGCCCAGCACCCAGCACAGCTCCAGCAGGATTTGGGCACTGAGCAGAGACTCCCTCACCCTCACCTTGCTGAATGACTTCATGGTCTTCTCCTCTGTCAAGGATTTGGTCAGCCACTGCTGGGCCCCGCTCAGCTGGTCGTCACCTTTGATGTCCACAAAGTTGATCTCCTCCCTCCCACGATTCCTCTTGCCCTGCAGACGTTTGAACTGAAGGAAGAACACAAGAGCTGCAATTACACCCAGCACTGACCTGACACCAGGCACAGCAAACACTTTTCCAGCTGGGGTTTTGATCTTTTGGAGATTTTCAGCATGTTGTACATCGGAGTATCTAAAACTACTCAGCATCAAGGTTATAATTTCATTTTCCTATGCAGAAAGCAGCATTTGCTGCTGCTTCCAGACAGTGCCCATCCCTTGTGCTGGCATCTCCAAGCCTAGGGCTAGTTTGGGGCCTCTCATGACAAGATATTGAGGAGCTGGAGCGTGTCCAGAGAAGCAAACAAAGCTGGGGAAGGGGCTGGAGCACCAGGAGAGGCTCAGGGGGGACATTCTGGCTCTGCACAATTCCCTGACAGGAGGGGACAACCAGTGAGCTCTGCTCCCAGGGAACAGGGACAGGACAAGAGAAAATGGCCTCAAGTTGTGCCAGGGTTAGATGAGGTTGGATATAGGGGAAATTCCTCCACCCTGAGGGTTGTGCAAGCTGCAGTGGTGAAGTCCCCACCCCCAGAAGGATTTAAAAGCCACATGGATGTAGCACTTGGGGACACGGTTTAGTGCTGGGTGATGGTCTTGGAGGCCTTTTCCAACCTCAACAATTGATTCTATTCTGTATTTATCAGGTCTGCAGACCCAGCTGGAGCAGGACCCCACACATGCCCACAACACAGCATGAGGCACCCCCAGAAAAACCACCCAGCCCAAAGCCCTGGAAACCCAGGCAGTGCTGGGGGGCAGGAGTGGGGCTGCCAAGAGGCTCCCGAGTTCTGGCAGAGCTCAAAGCCAAATTACAGGGGATTTGGGGACAGAAAATCAGGTGCCAACCGCTTCGTCATCGATGAAGGAGGAGTCGGTGCTGGTCTCCTGTGGTGAGGCCTGGGCTGGTTCCACCTCAGGGTAGTACCCACTGCTGTAGTAATCCTGGCAGGGAAAGAGGGAAATGGAAACCAGTTTGGCATGAGAGCAATCCTGGAGTGGCAACAGGCACAGAGTGCCCCGTGGGCTGATTCCATCAGAGGGACAAAGCAACAAACACCCTGAGGGGCTTCTCACAAGGAGTGGCAGGACAAGGGGAATGGCTTCCCACTGCCAGGATGGGATATTGGGAAGGAATTCTTCCCAATTCTGCCCTTGCAGTGAGGTCCTGGCACAAGCTGCCCAGAGAAGCTGTGGCTGCCCCATCCCTGGCAGTGCTCAGTGCCAGGTTGGACAGGGCTTGGAGCAACCTGGGATAGTGGAAGGTTGGAACCCTGGGACTGGATGGGCTCTAAGGTCCTTTCCAACCCAAACCAGTGTGGGATTCTATTTATTAGAATTCTATTTATTAGAATTATTAGAACTAACCAGAGCTCAGACAGCAGCTCCAGTGAGCCCTGACTCTGCACCCTCACATGCAGGGCATTTTCACAGGAGTGCAGCTGTTAAACATCTGTCCAGCAAAGAACATCTCTCACAGTGTGGGAATCCCCTTGTGCCCAGTGGCTCCCTGTACCAGATAGCTTGGGCTGGATTCCCTGCCCTGAGCCCCAGGCACCTCACACAGGCTCCATTCCCTGCCCCATGCCCCAGGTACCCCACACAGGCTGCATTCCCTGTCCCATGTCCCAGGCACCTCACACAGGCTGGATTACCTGCTCTGTGTCCCAGGTAGCTCCCAAGGACTGCATTCCCAGCCCTGTGCCCCAAGCACCTCACAAAGGCTGCATTCCCAGCCCTGTGCCCCAAGCACCTCACAAAGGCTGCATTCCCTGCCCAGGCACCACACACAGGCTGCATTCCCTGCCCCATGTCCCAGGTACCTCACCCAGGCTGCATTCCCGGCCCAGGTAGCTCCCAGGGGCTGCATTCCCTGCCCTGTGCCCCAAGCACCTCACACAGGCTGCATTCCCTGCCCTGTGCCCCAAGTAGCTCCCAAGGACTGCATTCCCTGCCCAGGTACCCCACATAGGCTGCATTCCCTGCCCCATGTCCCAGACACCTCACACAGGCTGCATTCCCTGCCCAGGTATCTCCCAGGGGCTGCATTCCCTGCCCTGTGCCCCAGGTATCTCACACAGGCTGCATTTCCTGCCCTGTGCCCCAAGCACCCCACACAGGCTGCATTCCCTGCCCAGGCACCCCACACAGCCTGCACTCCCAGCAGCAGCCCCCAGTACCCAACTGGAGCCCCTCAATCACCTCCTCAAAGCCCTCCCCTCCCCTCTGGCCAACAAACCCACCTGGTAGTACCCTCCAGGCTCTCCATAGGCAGAGGGGAACTGCCCATAGGGCTGGCTGCTGTAGTCCTCAGTGGCTTTGGGTGCCCAGCTGTGCTGAACTCCACTGGAGCCCACCCCTGTCTTGAACTCCAGCGGGGCGTTCGCGGCNCCCTGACACCCTCCTTGGCACCCCTAACACCCTCCTGGCACCTCTGACGTCCCCCCTGGCATCCCTTTTCTGAGCATCTCCCATTCTCCTAGCTGTGCCATAGGGTCAGGATCCTTCTGGGCCATTCCCTCTGGAATTTGGTGCCCGTTGCCAGCCTGGTGCTGCTGGGATGGGGCCCAGTGATGCCCCCAGGACTGAGGAGAGCACCTGGGTGGCACCCATGGGACTCAGGAGTGCCACCCAGTGCATGTGCCCCCCTCCCCCATGTGCTTCATGGACCGTGTGTGACCCACATGAGTTAATTCCATTAATGAATTAATTAATTCCTGTGCCAGCCTTGTCCCGCAGGGGGGAAACTGAGGCAGGGAGGGCAGGGCAGGCTGATCCAGTGGAGCAGTGGCAAAGGTGAAGAGCAGAGGTTGGGGGCAGAGTCCAGCTCAGGGGTTTGTGCCCGTCCCTCCCCTGCCACGCTCCAGAGCTTGGGGACATTCCCAGCCCCTTTCAGACCCCTGGGCGCTGCCCCTGGGCTGTGACACCGGTGCCATTGGCAGGGGGACAGCAATGGGCACCTGGACTTTACCCTGGCACTGCAGCCGTGTGTCTGTCTGCTGCCACTGTCCGGACAGACAGACACAGGCTGTGACAAAGCCTATCATGGGCCAGTTTGAGCAGTGAGGTTTTTTGGGTGGGTTAGCACTGTCTGCATTATCAGTGACCCCAAAGGGGTGCCACCCTCCTGCCCTGTGTCCCCGCACCCCAAAATCCCTGCCTGGCCCTGCAGATAGAGCCAGCACATGCCCTGGGGGTGCAGGAGGGGCTGATAAAGGGATGGGAGGGGTGGGCTGGGTAGAGAATCCCATTGCCAGGGGGTCCCAGGTGTCCCATGGGGGGCTGGGCTGGGAATCCCACTGGGGAGGGAATCCCAGTGCCAGGGGGCCCCAGCAGTCCCGTGGGGGGCTGGCAGGGATGGGCAGGGGATCCCATTACCAGGGGGTCCCATTTGTCCTTCGGGGGGCTGGGAGGGGATGGGTTGGGCTGAAATCCCATTGCCAGGGGGTCCCAGCTGTCCCTTGGGGGGCTGTGCAGGGATTCCCACTGCCAGGGGGTCCCAGCTCCATGGACCCCCCTCAGTTCCTGAGCTGGGGACACGGTGACACAGCGCAGCCATCCTGGAGCTGCTGCCTTTCCTTGGGGAAGGAGATTTGGGAACTCCAGCAGAGTGCTGGCACTGCCAGGGGCTGTGGGGTCCCTGTGGGTCCCTGTCCAGGCCTGGCATGGGGAGGGTNTCAACTATTTTACAGCACTTTCTAACCTGTTTTTAACAGACGGACAGCAGGGATTGTGAAGTCATCACACAGCTCAGCTGTGGGAATCCTAAATTTTAAGGATTTTAATCCTTAAAATCTGAGGGGTTTGGGAAAGCTGCAAAAGGCAGGCTCAGAAACAGCAGAACTGCAATTAGAGCTAAGCAGTAGCCACAAAATTTGTCGAGGGGAAAAATTATACAAGAAGTAGAAAGTAAGGACAAATAGAACAATGGTTTGTGTTATTAATGCTTGTTTAAAATAACTCCCTAAGCTACAGAGAAGTATATCTAGCAAGATATACTTTTATACTTTTTTTATGCTTTTATACTTCCTATATTAGGAAATTCCAAGTTTAATAAAGGAGCTCTGTGCATTGTGGTTTAAGGCTTACAAGCAGACATTGTATTGGAAATAAGCAAGCATTGTTTTAACCAAAGGTACGTGTGCTTATGGTGGTTGGATGGAACTATTGTCAATGTGCTTTTGCTTTGTGTGATTGGTCAAAAACTTTTAAAGTGAGTTGTAGCATTGAGTTCTTTGTCTACAGCCAAAAATGTAAACTGTTAACATCTTCCCATTATCATAACCATGTAATGAGACTGATACTAAAGAATAAAAAGCTCAAAGCAAACTGCTCAACAGTCCTATCCCATTTGTAATTTATAATTTATAAATAAACCCCCAACCAACAACACCCCCCCATCCCTGTCATGGTGCCATGGATGAGCCTGGTCCTGCCCTAATCCCTGCCCAAATTCCCAACCCATGGGATGCAGCGGGGCTGGCACTGCCTTGGGGCTGGCACTGCCCTTGCCCTGGCTCCAGCTGGAGCCTGGCACCAGCTGGGTGAGAGTGGCAGAGGACACGTGGTGGCACAGACACAGCATTGGCAGCTCGGTTGCTGATGCCCCCAGAACGGCCCAGAACGGCCCAGAACGGCCCAGAACGGCTCAGCTCTGGCACCCAGAGTCTCAGGAAGGGGATGGTGCAGGATTGCACCATACCAGGACAGAATCTGGGCTCAGAGTGTGAGCCTGGGCCTGCCGAGCCTGCTGTCCCCTCTGAGCTCTGCTGTCCCCTCTGAGCTCTGCTGTCCCCACCAAGCTCTCCTGTCCCTTGATTTCTGCTGTCCCCACCCTGCTCTGCTGTCCCCCCTGATCTCTGCTGTCCCTCCTGAGCTCTGCTGTCCCCATTGATCTCTTTTGTCCCCTCTGCTGTCCCCTCCAAGCTCTGCTCTCCCCGTTCCCATCACTGACAGGTCCCAGGATGCAGACAGGACAAGAGTGACAATGACACCTTTGCCTGTGGCCAGGTGGCCTCGGTGCTCTCCTGGCCACAGCCCAGCCTGTGCCGAGGCTGCTGCTGTCACCTGCCTGTCACCGCAGGGCCACCATGCCACCTTCCTGTGACGTTTCCCCATCACATGAAGCCTCTTGCAGCTTTGGTCGCTGNCACTGGTTTACACCATTTTATGCCACTTTTACACTGTTTTACATGGTTTTTACACCATTTTGGTGCTGTTTTATACTGGTTATGCACTGTTTTACACCTATTTTTCATGGCTTCACATTATAGTTTTGCACTGTTTTACATTTTTATATATCTTTATGCCAAGTTTGCACTGTTTTACACGATTTTACACCAGTTTTGCACTGCTTTAATGTTTTTTACACCATTTTTTGTGCTGTTTTACACTGGTTATTTACAGTGTTTTACATTCTTTTACACCTGTTTTTCACATTATAGTTTTGCACTGTTTTACATATTTTTTTACACCATTTTTAGTGCTGTTTTACAATGGTTATTTACACTGGTTATTTACAGTGTTTGACACTGTTTTACACCTGTTTGTCACATTCTAGTTTTTCACTGCTTTGCACATTTTTACACCATTTTTGTGCTGTTTTACACTGGTCATTTGCAATGTTTTACACTGTTTGACACCTGCCTTTCACATTCCAGTTTTGCACTGTTTTACGCTCTTTTTGAACTGTTTTACACCTGTTTTTCCCATTACCATTTTACACTGTTTTACATATTTTTTACACCATTTTGGTGCTGTTTTAAACTGGTTATGCACTGTTTTACACCTGCTTTTCCCATTGCCATTTTACACTGTTTTACATGTTTTTAACACCATTTTTGTGCTGTTTTACACTGCTTATTTACAGTGTTTTACACTGATTTACACCTGTTTTTCACCTTATAGTTTTGCACTGTTTTACATGTTTCTTACACCATTTTGGTGCTGTTTTGCACTGTTTTTGCATTCTTACACTGGTTTTGCATGAGTTTAAAACAACTTTTGCACTGTTTTACACAATTATATGCCAGTTTTGCACTCTTTTGCATGTTTTTTACACCATTTTGCTGTTTTACACTGGTTATTTACAGTGTTTTGCACCTGTTTTTCCCATTATAGTTTTGCACTGCTTTAGGTACTTTTACACCATTTTTGTGCTGTTTTACAATGGTTATTTACAGTGTTTTACACTGTTTTACACCTGTTTTTCACCTTATAGTTTTGCACTGTTTTACATGTTTCTTACACCATTTTGGTGCTGTTTTACACTGGTTATGCACTGTTCTACACCTGCTTTTCACCTTATAGTTTTACACTGTNCCATCAGAACTCCCTGAGCCCGTGGCTGCTGCTCCTTTAACCCCAGGGAAGGGGCAGGGAGCCACCAAGCAGGGACAAAGGGACAAAGGACACCCGGATGGCCCAGTGCCCCCCAGGGGTTTGAATGTGCCAATCACTCAATTCCTTCTGGAATTCCAGGACTGACAGCGCTGGGAGGGGAAAGGAGAGGTGACTGACACACCTGGGAGGGGATTATCAGGGGAGGGACCCGAGGGACACACAGCACCTGCAGCCATCCGGGGGATTTTCCCAAGGGAAAGCCAAGCATCACCAAAGCCGGGTTTGGAAGCCACCCTGGCTAACAGGAGCACGGAGCCAGCGCCCAGCTGGGTGTGCCCTGAGCACGCAGCCATCCCGACAGCTCTCTGCTCTCCCCGCAGAAGGACGAGCCCCGAGGGCGGCCACAGGGTGATGCTGCTCATTCCCCAGTGAGCCAAACAGCGGCCACGCTCCCGGAGCACAGCCCCGTGTCCCTGGAGCCCCCCAGAGCCGAGGTAATGGGGCAGGGGGGATGGAGGCACTGCCCAGGGACAGGATGGGGCAGTGACATCCACTGCCACCATCACCTGTGTCAGGGCAGGGGGGATGGAGGCACTGCCCAAGGACAGGATAGGAGGGATGGGATGCAGTGACAGCCACTGCCACCCTCACCTGTGCCAGGGAGGTAACAGGGCAGGGGGGATGCACTGACACCCACTGCCAGCCCTCACCTATGCCAGGGCAGGGGGATGAAGGCACTGCCCAAGGACAGGATAGGAGGGATGGGATGCAGTGACAGCCACTGCCACCCTCACCTGTGCCAGGGAGGTACTGGGGCAGGAGGAATGCAGTGACACCCACTGCCAGCCCTCACCTGTGCCAGGGAGATAAAAACGGGCAGGGAGGATGGAGGCACTGCTCAAGGACAGGATAGGAGGGGTGGGATGCAGTGACACCCACTCCCAGCCCTCACCTGTGCCAGGGAGATAAAAACGGGCAGGGAGGATGGAGGCACTGCTCAAGGACAGGATGATGCAGTGACATCCACTCCCAGCCCTCCCCGAGGGAGGTAACAGGGCAGGGGGATGCAGTGACAGCCATTCCCACCCTCACCTCCACCAGGGAGATAACGGGGCAGGGGNGGGACAAGGCCGCGTTGCCATCCTCCGCTCCTGGCACGGTTTGGGCACGATCGGTGCTGCCAGCCCCAGCAAAAGCCTGGCCAGGAGCTGGGTTATCCCCCTGGCACTTTGCTGATTTTTGGTTTGATGCTTTTGGCCTCCTTCTGGCTCGTTCTGGCCTTAATAAAGCAATAAACTGGGCTGGAATTTGCGTCCCCAACACGCAACAGAGCTGTTGTGAAGTAGCAGCACCAAATAATTGTTATAGGTAATAAATGAAAAAGCTGAATTAATACTAATAATAATTAAAGCAAAATGGAGATAAATGAAGAGCATAGCCTGAACCTTGCGTGATTTGGAGCACTGTGAAATCCAGCCCTGTCCCACCCCTCCTGGCCTGAGGAGTGTTAAAAATACAGAATTAAAAATAGGCATGGAGGCCTTGGGGAGCATGGGAGGATTCCAGGAGCTGGGACACACGAGTTCCGTTTTCCTCCATGACAAAAATGTGTATTTTGATTGGATTTTCGCAAATATTATAATGAATATTGTATGTGTCATGTTAGAAAGTTACGCTGTATAAATTTCCTTAAGTAGTGTGTTAAATATAGCTTTAGGTTATAACATAATGTTAAAATAGAAACTATGCTATATAAGATACTTTTTGAAAGAGAAAAATAAAGTACACCAAAATAACAGCCACAAAACACCTAAATCTTTAAATAAAAATATTTATTGCTCCATTATTAGAAAAAACTAACTTCTTCCTACCTCGCTCAGCCCTAAAGATGCTGTCAAGATTAAGAAGTTGACACTGACCAAAAAAAACCTTTGTTTAAATAGAATTTTTACATCATGTATGAAATGTATAAAATGCAACAAACTATTACTTTTAAAAGTTGATCCTCTGTTAACATGTGTCCTTTTTCAGGCTTATTTTACCCAAAAAAAGGTACCAGAACTGTCCATAACTCTTTATTTTTATTGTCTCATCATAACCCTAACTGTCCAAACTTTTATTACTCTAATTTTATTACTATTTATATAACCATTTTATTAAACTTTTCATATTTTAAAAACAAGTGACTGGTGTTTTTCACAAATCCTCATTTCCCTGGGCCTTTGTCCATTTTTCCATAGCAGGTGGAGATTCCTGGGTTCTGTTCTCACCCCCAGAACAGGATCCTGCTGTCAGCCCTGACCCTGTGGATTATTTATTTGTGTTATTTGCAGCTCGTTAGGAGAAATTAAGCCAAGGAAAGCACAAGGGGATGGAAAGAAAAGGAGCCCAGCCCAGGAACCCCGACTGCCAGGGCAGGGTGGAGGTTCTGGTTTTAGAAAATTTAATCTGAGTTTAATCTCAGGTGTGGTTGGGACAACAGCACCCAGGTTTGGTCTGAAACGGGGACTAAAATGANGGCCGGCTTGGGCACGGCTTTGGGTTTGGAGGAAGAGCTGGGGGGCTTGGCAGGCTTGGAGTCAGAGGAGTTTTCTCCAGCTTTCCTGGAGAAGGCGTAGGGCAGGAGCAAGCGGTTGGTCTCTTTCACTGGCGTGTTTTTGGGCTGAGGGAGCAGAGCGGACAAGCCGGAGCCCTCGCTGCGTCCCTGGTGATGTCCACGCAGGACAAATGGATCAGAGAAAGGAAAGAAGGAGATTATTCACTTTTCATTACTTCCTTACAGTTATCCCCCTCAATTCTAACACTTTCTCACTGCTTGGCCATTCTGCACTGGCTAAAACCCCTGGGAGGAGTTCTGAAGGGAAATGTGGCAAATATCTATCCAAGGTGATCAGTGTGGATGATTGAGACAAGGTGATGAGTGGGGACAAATGGATCCCAGAAAGAAAAAAGGCAGATTATTCACTTTTCCTTTCTAATTATTTCCCCCAATTCTAACACTTTTTGTGGGTTTCTCACTGCTTGGCTGTTCTCACTGCATAAAAACCCTGGGGGGGAGTTTCAAAGGGAAATGTGAATGTTGCAAATATCTGCCCAATTCATAAATTAGTGCCTCTTTAGCCAAGACTTAAATTGGTGAAAGTGCCCAAAAGAAAGGACTTGAAAACCCACAGGATTTCAGGAATATTCCTAAAGGCATGAGGTAATCAGTGTGGAGAGTGTGGACAATTTACACGAGGTGATCAGTGTGGACAAATGGATCCCAGCAAGAAAAGAGGCAGATTATTCACTTTTCATGACTTCCTGAAAATTATCCCCCCTAATTCTAACACTTCTTGTGAGTTTCTCACTGCTTGGCCACTCTGAATGCACTGCACAAAAAGCCAGGGGGATTCTGAAGGGAATTGTTGCAAATATCGGCCCAATTCAAATATCTGCCCAAGGTGATCAGTGTGGATGATTTACACAAGGAGATCAGTGTGGACAAATGGATCCCAGAAAGAAAATAGGCAGATTATTCACTTTTCATGACTTACTGCCAATTATCCCTCTCCATTCTAACACCTCTTGTGGATTTCTCACTGCTTGGCCACTCTGCACTGTATAAAAAGCCAGGGTATTCTGAAGGGAAATGTGAATGTTACAAATATCTGCTCTANGCCACGGCAGGGCTGGGGAGGGGCAGCCAACTCAGGGCCCTCCCTTCTCCTGTGCCATGCCATGCCGTGCTGTGCCATATTCATGCTGTGCTGTTTCATGTCATGCCATGCCGTGCCATGCCATGCCATGCTCTCTTCCCTCCTGGTGGCTATACCCATGCCATGCCATACCATGCTGTGCCATGCTGTGCCATGCCATGCTGTGCATTCCGTGCTGTGCCATACCATGCCATGCCATGCCTTGCCATGCTGTGCCTTGCCATGCCCTGCCATGCTGTTCCGTACTATGCCACGCCATGCTCTCTCCCCTCCCGGTGGCTGTGCCCATGCCATGCCATGCCGTGCCATGCCGTGCTGTTCCATTCTGTGCTATGCCATGCCTTGCTCTGTTCCCTCCCGGTGGCTGTGGCCATGCCATTCCATACCATGCCATTCCATTCCATGCCATGCCATGCAATGCTGTGCCGTGCCATGCCATGCCATGCAATGCTGTGCCATGCCATGCCATGCCCATGCCATGTCCTCCCAGGGGCAGGGATCGCTGCCGGCACTTTGTCCTGGACCAGCAGCCTGATGGGCGCTATGTGATCCTGGGCGAGCGCAGCGCCCACCCCGAGCTGGCGCAGCTGCTGCAGCACCACAGCACAGCCCCAGTGAGCCCGTACCGAGAGTTCCTCAGCGTGGCCCTGCCCTGCACGCAGGTGAGTGCTGGAACTGAGAGCCCTGGGAGATCCTGGGAGATCCTGAGAGATCCTAACAAACCCTGAGAGATCCTGGGAGAACCTGAGAGGTCCTGAGTGACCCTGAGAGATCCTGAAAGCCCTGAGAGCTCTGAAAGCCCCTGAGAGCTCCTGAGAGATTCTGAGAGCCTCTGAGAGATCCTGAGAGACCCTGAGAGGTTCTGAGAGGTTCTGAGTGACCCTGCGAGCCCCTGAAAGATCCTGAGAGCCACTGAGAGATCCTCAGAGATCCTGGGAGACCCTGAGAGTCCTGAGAGATCCTGAGAGATTCTGAGAGATCCTGAGAGCCTCTGAGAGATCCTGAGAGACCCTGAAAGCTCCTGAGATCCACTGAGAGCCCCTGAGAGATCCTGAGAGACCCTGAGAGACCCTGAGAGCTCTGAGAGATCCTGAGAGATCCTAACAAACCCTGAGAGTTCCTGGGAGATCCTGAGAGACTCTGAGAGATCCTGAGAGACCCTGGGAGATCCTGAGAGAACCTGAGAGGTCCTGAGTGACCCTGTGAGCCCCTGAAAGATCCTGAGATATCCTGAGAGATTCTGAGAGCCACTGAGAGATCCTCAGAGATCCTGGGAGACCCTGAGAGTCCTGAGAGCTCCTGAGAGATTCTGAGAGATCCTGAGTGCCCCTGAGAGATCCTGAGAGCCCCTGACAGACCCTGAGAGAACCTCTGAGAGAGATCTCTCTCTCAGGAGAGATCCTGAGAGCCCCTGAGAGCCTCTGAGAGATCCTGAGAGTCCCTGAGAGACCCTGAGAGCCCCCGAGAGCTCCTGCACATTGAAATATCACCAATCCAGCTGAACAGGACATGCTTGAGCTTGTCTGGCCCTTGGTGCTGAACCAAAAAGTGGCAACTGTGGTGTTTCACCCCACAGACACTTTGGGCTGGCTGGGTGCTGCACTGGGCCCGTGGGGACAATTCCAGGCCTGCAGGAGCTCTGGTGGTGCTGGGATGGAGTTTCCCCCCATAACAGGGGCTGCTCCTCAGGTTTCCCTCTGTGGAGAAGCTTTGAGGTGATGGTGAAGGAAAAGAGTCGGCTCTGATGGAGGGTTTGGATCCAGAGCTTTATTCTCTGAATGCAGCACCAGCTCCATCAGAACTCCCTGAGCCCGTGGCTGCTGCTNGCTCCATGAACCCTTCCCGCTCATGGGAAGGGCCAGCTCGCCCCCTTTGCGCTTCACTGATGATTTTGGGGGGTTTCAGCCAAACCGGCAGAGCCCCGAGCGTGTCCCCCCGGTTCTCGGTGGCCTCAGAGGTGCCACAGAGGTGGCAGCGCTTACGCCGAGAGTTTGGCTTTAGAAAATCGATAGAATTATTGAGGACTTAGGACGGGGGGAAGGGACCGAGGGGGTGCAGGCCCCACCATGTGCCAGCACCGCCGGTGTCCCCTGAGGGTCCTGGGTGTCCCCTGAGGGGGCCATGAGCCCGGGACCCCCGCGATAAACCCCAAACCATGGGGCCCGTGGGCAGCTCTGGCTGCACAACACGGCGCTGGTTATTTTTAAGCGGTTGATGATGCAGTTTAAAATTTCCTTGGAGTGTTTTTCACCTCCCCCCCCCTACACACACACACACTCTCTCCCCTCACGGCCTTGCTGCAAAGGGCACCGGGGGCTGCCTGCAAACCCCAAATTGAGCGGAAAAAAAGGACGGAATGGGGGCGATAGGGCTTTAAAGGCCGAGGGTCCCTCCCCAGTGCCCCCCTTCCCCTGGCGGATTTGAATAACTTTTGTTTGGTTTGTCGGGTTCTGGCGGGGAGGCCGGGAGGGGGTTGGGAGCCGCTCGGATTTGGCACCGGCCCTCCCAACGCGCATTTGAAAGCGGCTTTGGGCGAGGAGGAGCCACAGAGAGGATCCCTGGGAGCTTCCACACTGCCTGCTCTTCCTTCCCTCCCTCGGGGGGAAAAGCGATGCTGCCCCCCGGCTGATCCATCCTCCTGCAGCCCTCATCCATCCCAATGGGGTCCGGGGTGATGCCAGCTCGGGGCTCCAAAGCCTCGTGGGCTCAGCTCCCACTCATCTCATTTCACACCCCGCTCATCTCATCATTTGACCCCCACCATCATATTTAGGGCAGGCAGGGAATGTTTTTTTGGTTTTTTTCCCCTCTCCCTCTGGCTGGGCTCCCCAAAGCCAAGGGGGTTTAGGAGCAGAGCCCTCCCCACCGTGACTAATCAGGCAGGGCTTGCCCGTGACTAATCAGGTGCTGTGATGAAACCTTAGCCGGCCACGCGTGGCGTTCCATGGGGTGTTTGTTTCCAACCAGGTGTGGCTGGAGCTCAGAGATAGGGCAAGAAATGGACGGGGGAGGGGTTGTTCCCTCCCTTTCTTCCCCTGGGGATGGCACCTGGTGCCATTCTCCAACACCAGCAGCTCGGTGGAAAGCCCTCCCTGAGAGGGGCAGTGTTAAACAGGGGGGAGACTGAGGCACCAGAGTGGGAGATGAGTTGCTGGCACTGGAGGATGATGCTTGCCTCGTTTTTTCCCTCACCCTTTCTCTGCAGGGTCCCTTATGGCAGACCCTTGTTGTTGGTGCTTCCCTGCCAGATCTGCAGCCCCTTTTCATACAGAGCTCTGGGACAGCCAGGGAGCAGGGCAGGGGATGAAGCAGGAGCAGCACATGGGATCCTGGCACCTCTGGCATACCCCTGACACCCCCCTGGCGTCTCTGACAGCCCCCTGGCACCACTGACATCTCCCCTGGCCCNTGGCAGCAAGAACCATTCCCCCTTACCCTGTCACTCCAATTCCCTACAAAAACTGAGTCCCTGACCCAAAGCCAAGGGCTGGGAGGCTGAAACACCAACCCTGTGCTGTTTCCTGGCTCTCAATTCCCTCTCCTTTGGGATCCCCCAGGTTGTGCTGAGCCCAGAGCTGGAGCTGGAGCTGGATGACCCCGTGTACAGCAGGAGCACCCCCAGGGACCTGCAGCCCATGGCTGAGAATGTGTATGAGCAGCTGCCTGGGGACTGCTCCTAAATCACCTGGGCAGCACCTGGATCCTGGCAGGAGCAACCTCAGCCTCCCCATCACTGCAGGAAGCCCTTGGCCCTGGGAGGAGCTCCAAGGATGCTGCTGGCCCCAGCTGGCAGTGCCAACCTGCTCCTCCAACTTCCCAACCCTGCTGGACAGCACAGGGGGAGCCTGACCTTACCCATGAACACATTCCAAGAGACTTCTGGTAATAAAATGAGGGGAAAAGGCTGTTACTGGAAAAAAACAGGGATGATTTTGGCACAGTTGGTGCATGCACTTGGATATTAAATTGGTCAGAAACTGGGAAAAAGGCTACAGGTAAAACAGGGATGGGNGGGGGGAAGGGGTGGGAGAAGGGGAGCCCTGCTGGCCCCCACACCATGGGCACCCCGTGTTCTGCTGAGCGCTGCTGTGCCAGCTCTGTGTCCAGACCGTGGGGGGATTCCCAATTAATTTTCCTTTCCTGAGCTGTGCCCATCAACAGGACACTGGAGGGGATGTCCTGGGGGCATCTGAGGAGCTGTGGCATCACTGGCAGCACCTGAATTTGCTGAGTGTGTCTGAGCTGGTCTAGAGTAGAGTTTGTAGGAGAAGGGGAGCCCTGCTGTCCCCCACACCCGTGGGCACCCCCTTGTTCTGCTGAGCACTTCCTGCCAACACTGTCTCCAGACTATGGGGAATTCCCAATTAATTTTCCTTTCCTGAGCAGTGCCCATCCATAGGACACTGGAGGAGATGTCCTGGGGTCTGAGCCTGAATTTGCTGAGTGTGTCTGAGCTGGTCTAGATAAGAGATTTGGGGGGCAGGGGGTGGGAGAAGGGGAGCCCTGCTGGCCCCACACCTGTGGGCACCCCTTGTTCTGCTGAGCACCTCCTGCCAGCAGGAAATTAATTCCCAATTAATTTTCCTTTCCTGAGCTGTGCCCATCCATAGGACACTGGAGGGGATGTCCTGGGGACATCTGAGGAGCCCCAGGGGATGTCCTGGGGACTGAGGAGCCCCAGGGGTCTCTGCCCTCTCCTCTCACCCCGTCCTTTGTGTCCCACAGATTGATGAGATGCCAGAAGCTGCAGTCAAATCCTCCTCCAATAAGTACCAAGTCTTCTTCTTCGGGACCCACGAAACGTGAGTGGAGCTGGGGCTCACAGTGAGTTTGGGAGGGGTGAGACCCCCCCCTCTACTCCCACCCCTCACCCTTTTCCCCTGGCACAGGGCATTCCTGGGCCCCAAAGACCTCTTCCCCTACGAGGAGTGCAAGGAGAAGTTTGGCAAACCCAACAAGCGGAAAGGGTTCAGCGAAGGTTTGTGGGAGATCGAGAACAACCCCACGGTCAAAGCCTCCGGTTACCAGGTGGGTCACGAGCTGGGGGGGCTCCATCCCAGCTCCCCCCAACCTTTCCTCCCTCCTGGGAGCCCTCTGTGAACCCCTCCATGCCCACAGCCCACCCAGAAGAAGAGCTGCCCCGAGGCGGCCAAGCGGGAGCCCGAGGGGGACGGGGACAAGAAGGGCAACGCCGAGGGCAGCAGTGACGAGGAGGGGAAGCTGGTGATCGACGAGCAGAGCAAGGAGAAGAACGAGAAAGGAGGCAGCAAGAGGAAAGCTGAGGATGCTTTGGAGGTACTGGGGGCGCTGGGCAGGGCTGGGGATGTTGGGGACAAGGGTGGGAATGTTTGGGACAGGGGATGGGGATGTTGGGGACAAGGGTGGGGATGTTTGGGACAGGGGTGGAGGTGCTGGGGACAGGGAATGTTTGGGACTGGGGATGGGATGTTGGGGACTGGGGCTAGAGATGTTGGGGATTGGGATGTTTGGGACCAGGGATGGCTGGGACAGGGGATGGGGTTATTTGGGGACAGGGAATGTTGGGGATGGGATGGAGATATTTGGGACAGGGGATGGGGATGTTGGGGACAAGGACTGGGGATGTTTGGAATAAGGGCTGGGCATGTTGGGGAGAGGGGTTGAGGAGGTTGGGAACAGGGATGGGAATGTTGGGGACAGGTGTGTTTGGAACAGGGGATGGGGATGTTAGAATGGGGGATGTTTGGGAGGGGGGGATGTTTGTGACAGGGGATGGGGGTTTTTGGGACAGGGGCTGGGGATGTTGGGGACGGGCTGGGGATGTTTGGGACAGGGGATGGAGATTTTTGGGACAGGGATATTGGGGAGAGGGAATGGGGATGTTGAGGACAGGAGTGGGGATGTTGGGGACAGGGGATGTTTGGGACAGGGGATGTTTGGGACAGGGATTGGGATGGGATGGTTGGGAGAGGAGATGGGGGTGTTGGGGACAGGGGCTGGGCATGTTTGGGACGGGATGCGGATGCTGGGGATGGGGGGTAGGGATGTCTGGGATGGGAATAGGGATATTTGGGAATGGGGATGTTTGGGACAGGGGCTGGAGATGTTGGGGACGGAGGCTGGTGATGTTTGGAATGGGGATGTTTGGGGGTGGAGATGTTGGGGACAGGGGCTGAGGATGGGGACAGGGGATGTTTGGGACAGGGGATGGGGGTGTTTGGGGATGGGCTGGGGACAGGAGATGGGATGGGATGTTTGGGACAGGGGATGGGGATCTTAGGGATGGGAATGTTTGGGACAGGGCTGGGGATGTTGGGGATGAGGATGGGGAGGTTCAGACGGGGATGGAGATTTTTGGGACAGGGGACAGGGGATGGAGATGTTGGGGACGGGCTGGGGAGGTTTGGGACAGGGGATGGGGATGTTTAGGACAGGGGATGTTGGGGACACAGGCTGGGGATGTTGGAGAGAGGGGATGGGGATGTTGGGAATGGAGGATGGAGATTTTTGGGATAGGGGATGGGGATGTTGGGCACAGGGGATGCTGGGTACAGGATGTTTGGGACAGGGCATGGGGATTTTGGGGACAGGTATGTTTGGGACAGGGGACAGGGGATGGGGACTGGGGATGGGGACAGGGACGGGGGGACACGGGGGGATGCAGGACAGGGGACAGGGAGGACACGGGACAGGGGACATGGGGACATGGGGGGACATGGGGACATGGAGGATGTGTGGGGATATGAAGGACACGGGGACATGGGGACACAGGGAGGGACATGGGGAGGACAAGGGGATGGGGGGGACACTGGGATATGGGGGACATGGGGAGATGTCCCCTGTGTG